TGGTCTGATGGTGTCGGAGTGGAGCATGAAGTTTGCGGTTCTTCACGTGCAATGTGATTGTCTTATCAGTTTCGGTCAGTCAATTGCTGACCCAGATCTCCGATAAAGACCAATTGCACTACACGATTTTCTCCCAGGAATTAGCTGTTACATCGTATATTTATTTGACCTGCAACCTTCTAGAAGACACTGATCAGGCCACATCCTCTGAATCCAACCAAAGCTCATTTCGCTTCTCAGGTTTATGCCGGATACAAGTGTTGCGTTTATCCCCTGGGATGTTTTTGATATGATGACGTGAACTAATCCCGAGTGAAGCGATCCACCCAACGTCGGTCGAGCAGTATACCCATCCACTGATGATCTTGAGTGTTCAAATCACGCAGCAATTGCTCAGCTTTCCCTCTGTCGTTTCGCTGTCTACAATTGAACATGACCCTTTCCAAAATATCGATTACATATCTGTTTTACCATGTACCACAATCCAATTTCATCAACCTCTAGATTTGAGTGACTGACAAAGATCATAGTAGTAGCCTTTTTCGAAAAACGATATTATTCGTTTTTCTGAAATCATTATTACCCTTTTTCAATGCTCAAACTCATGTGAGCTTTGTTTTTGTGAGCCAACTGAGTTAACTACGCGTCATTCCGGTTGTGATCGTTACCACATCTAGTGAAAGCCCGCTATTAGTTATGTCAGATGCACACAAGCTCGTATCACGTGATCTGGAGGCATACCGCAATGGGATTATTGCTAAACTACATCTGACACCTCATACCCGAAATTTATCCATTCAGATGGCTAATTCGAAGCCTTAGCCGTGGCGCCTCGCCTCAGTTAGCGGGATTCGCCACTCCAAGCCCCGGGCCATGGATTACTGGTTCCTATGACTGAACGGCCGGTCCTTGTGGCTATGACTTTTACCCTATCTGCTGTTCATCACACTGTGGTGTGCAATAAAAAAGTAACAGCCAAATCACAGTGATGTTTGCACGTACATACCATTTTGTTCATAATTCTATTTTAGAATGGTATAGACCAAAGGGCATAGAGCCTGATCCACTCGCGAATCTGTTCTGTCAATTGTGGTCACGACGCCACCCCTCACTGCTTGGGGTTATAGCAACCAGAATTTAAACAGACAAAGAAAGCTTGGCCTCAACTGGCTTGATTGAGGAATGAGGATAAATCAAGTCAGGTCATAGGTCATTACCCCTCAGTCATTGTTTTACGGACAGTCATGATTTGATCGGGCTCAGTCTCACGATAAACCTACACACAAGTATATAGAAATCCACCATGTAGTTTTGGCCATCGCGTACCAGTTAATGAGCCATTTATCGATGAGATTTTTTTTAAACATATAATCGAAAAATTCGAACGTCAAGGTGTCATGTAGAATTCTGGCGTTAGAAATAAATAGCAGCCTCAATCCTTTAGAAACAAGATACAGATTATTTTCCAAGTGCCTGTTCATCACCGGTTTCGCTATGGTACCAAATTCGGATGTCTAAATGGTGGGTTAGAACTCAACCAGATGTCAATAATCTATCCATCTCTCGCTTCATTTATGTGATTCTTGCTATCAAACCCCAAACATAGAATTGTGTGAAGCTGATGCCTCTGCAATTCAAGAAATGCGTGTTGCAATCGCCTGGAGACTTGGTCGTTGGGATACCCAAGATACATCAGTCGTCTTTCATTCGTCTCACTCCATGGGATTCGTGCCTGAAACTGGCCACATCAATCTTCCCTATGGAGATTGGTCTCAATGTGGCCTCGAGACAGTGTTCTACTGGCTATGCCACGCTGCAAATCACGCCGACTGGGCCCATGTTTCCACAATCCTCTCACAGCAACGGTACGTTTTGATGCGATTTGTGATCACTTGCTGATCTCATTTCGTTTTGATTTGGATCCCTGAGATTCATCCCTCTATGGTTGCTCCGTGACCAGACAACGAGCCTCAAGACTAATTGTACTAATATTACTTTCGCTCTCTGTAATTGCTTGCATTTTAACCGCAGTAGCATTTTTGACGCTTGAATCTTGTTGTAATGACTCTATCTGATTTCTTATCATTTCAGTGTTTTCGATTCATGCTTAATGCCTATCTGCTCGATAGAGAAATCGTGAACAATGTGACACGTTGAATACCTCACCTATATTATTAGGGTTACGTTAGCCTTGTGCTTGTACTGTACTATCTTGGTCTGATGAGCAATATGATTTGGGGCTACGGTCTGGTTTGATCATGTGAGCTTGTGTCAATCTATACCATTTTTTTGATTAACGTAAGAAGTATATCAGAATGATCCAGAATTATGTCAAAACTATACGGAATGATTCGCAATTCTTACGCGATGAGTTGATTGGAAGAACATTCTGGTTGGTCTGTGAATGTGTATATTTTGCAATAAATGATATATTGACTGGAAGCATACATTGTATATATATAAATATATATATATATAACACAAATCTTTACAGATACGGCGCCTAAATGGGTCGATGTAAAAATACAAAAGTTTAGCAAGAAACAAAAGCAATCAGTTTGGAGTAGAGAGATATCAACCTTTTTACTTGTTTACTGCACGCAATTTTGGCATTTTTGTTTTTTTATTTTGGGGATTGCTGGTAGGAGAGGGTATATCCACGCCACGGATTTCGGTTGAATGACATCCCGCAGTGTCTCCAGTCAACGGCAGTCTGAATCTTTGGGGTCCCAACCTGGAAACCCCGAAGAAGACAAATCTGAATACAATGGCTTTAACGCTCCATGCCATATCACAGCTTTCTCAACTCGCGCTTTCATCCAGTCCCGTTCATTGTCTGCGGGTCGTGCACTATAGGGCAGACGTTGTAGGGCATTAGTAGAACCTGCTCAAGCCATCTCAGACGGTGCAGTGAAATGATTCTACGCAGTGGAAGACTATTTAACCGAAACACACATCGTCTGAGCTCATCATTACTCGAGCGATGCTCTCACCATACGCGGCCAATGTTGCGCAGGCAGCGGTTCTCTAAGAATAGTTGTTCGGAGAGGCCACGTTTCGAAGCCGTAGAGCAACACGTCCGTGGTGGACAGATCTCTCCACTACTTCCAGAGTGTGATTACCCCACGAAATTTCAGCAACAGGTTCTTGCCAATCTTGCAGCAAAACCTTACACTTGTTATGTGCTAAGGATAAACCATACCGAGCAACTTCACCTACCAAACGATTCCGCCTGCCAAAGCACTCCAGTCCGTTATCGGCCAAAGTTGAAGAGAAGCGGAGAGGTAAGGCAATCTTGTCGTACCCCATTGGTGACAGGGAACGAAGGTGAGAGTTCTCTGTAGGCCCTTACCTTCTCCGAGGTCTGATGGTGGATTAATGTTAGCATCCGAAAATACTTCTCGGGTACTCCTTATCTCAGCAGAGAAATCCACAGGGCAGAACGATCAATGAAGTCGAAGACCGCTTTGACGTCCGAAAACACAATAGTTTCTCGCCTATATGTGTTGCGGTCTTCCAACAGCTGGCGAAAGGTGAAGATTTGATCTCTGTAATCACGGCGTGCACGAAACCCAGTCTGCTCTTCACGGAGTTGTCACTCACAAATTGGGCTTAGTCTGCGTAATGAAGTGGGCGCTATTGGAATCAGACTTGTTCTCTTGTGAGTTTACCAATCGATTTTTCCCATGTGTGAGATACAGTTTCGTCCTCCTAGATCTTTGAAAACGTGTACACGCCAATGCAACTGAAGGACCAAGTGACGCAACAAAGGTCACGTCGTGACCTGAGAACGGACGGAAACCGCAATCGGGACGAAAGGACAACTTCCTCCTTTCCCACCCCCACCCGCTCGCAGCAGTTCAACAGCGGACCGAGTCGAACACAGTGAGAACAGGGGACGAAAATAGTCGGTGAAGAAGAACGCATAGATAAACGAACGGATACAGACAGAACACTGCTACTTCACAAGCACTGATGATGTCACCTCGGCTGGTGATGAGACGTTTGCAAACAAATTGCCAAGCTCGGTGAACAGGCGAAATGGAATTCAGTTCACCGATTTTCAATATTTTGTCAACTATGAAGTCTATCCTCATTATCCGAATGGCAGCATCAAGCCCCCGGTGATCACCAAGATGAGCCTTATCGGATGACAAATAGCCACCGCATTTAGATCTCCGACCATAACTATGATGTCCGTCTTACGCGCTTTTAGAAGAAGCTATGGTGGTGGCTATTTTTGACTGTATCCGCGATACTTTTGTTTACTGACTCTACATGAACCTCAGTCTCATCATGCTGTCTACCGAGATCCAATGCGATAGGATAGCTTGGGCCCTGCTTAAGGCAATACCAGCGCCTACTTGATCAGACGCTGATGCGACAGGGTCCTCTGAAGGGCACAGATAAAACACTTCTTTAGGGTTGAAATGAGACGTAAGCGGATTTCTTAGCTCGAATCCTGCGTGCGTTTCCTAGAAGCAACACGTATAAATCTCTAGACTTTCGGGCGTACGAGTTCAACCTGTCTGTTGTCCTGTATGCATTAGAGTTCTTACATTGAACTAAGCCAGGTTGAATGCAGCATGAGGTCGGAGGGCACTGTGTTATAATTCCACAAGGCGGTGCTAGGTCGAGGATAGTTGTTTATTGCCAATAACAGTCAGGATATGGTTAGATTGTCATTCATACAACAAAATATCTCATTTGGAACAAGTTTGCAGAATTATCGCACACATGCACACACACACGGTCCACTATCAGATGCGCATTCTTGTATTCACTATATCGAACAGTAGCAGTTCGCTGCAACAGTCGTTGAAAGAAACTGCTGATCGCATCTTTTTGTGTACTACTCACAAGTGAGTAGTGTCCCACAACAACGGTACTGCTGAAACAGTTCCCGTGGTGGTTTTCAGGAGCTACAGTATGAATCTACGTCAGTGGAACCGTCCGAAGCAGAACAGGCGATGAAAAAAGGTATGTTTTGTGGGGTAAATGGAAATGCTGTGTGCGGTTTGGGGGGGGGGCAGAGCGAGTTTTGTGTGAGTGCAAAAATCTGGGGCGTGTGGATGTATATGTCCATGGTTGGATTGTGGGCTCAATACGACCCAGTTACGCAGGCCGATGTAGAGAGTTTTCTTATGGGGAGACTACCCGGATCCTTTTGTCTTTGAACGAACGCGCAAACCCACGACTCCTTTTGCTTTCACGAATTCACTGTACCTTCATGATCCGCGCATTATTTTGCATTGTACGGAGACGAGAGAACACATGCAGACCCCATTTTGTTACATGACCGGGCAGAAAGCTCTACATTCGTCTGTGGTCCACAGCTTTCAGCCTTGTAAGACCGAAATAAATTCAGGGTACAGAAGAACTAGCTATGATCTGGTTTTTCGCCTCGGCGCCAAAATGGCTATGGAGCATACGAATTGGCGCCAAAGAACGAAAAATGTTCAACGAAGAAGGAGTAATGGGTTTGCGCGCTTGCTCACAGATCAATCAAAACACCATTCCAATCAACCAACTACCTGACAATTCTGAATCATTTTGACATAATTCTCAAAAGTTTTAACAGTGTTCTGAAACATATCGAAAAAAGTGATGTACTTCCTTTCTAATTAAATGTTTCTATCCGTCATTTTTATACTGAAGAGCTTTCTTTTTTCGGAATAAATGATTTTTGTCAAAGTTTTCGATCATTGGCTTCGCGTCCGTTTATTCCTTTGGTCCATCCGACATTCTACTTAGTGTTTATTTAGACTTCTTTTTAATGCTTTTTTACCCCCTCCGTTGTTTCTCTCTCCTTAAATAACAACATTTTCCTCTTTTATTCTTCGTTAAGTAACCGATACTTGTGTTGCACCACTGGTCGAACACTGGTCGAACCAGCACTGCTCAGTCACAAATCTCTGATCGGTTGTCACCAATTCGCCTTTATCACGATGTTGAAACGTATGAGCACAAAGATTGCCCAACTGCTCCAATCCAACAGACATCCCGTTGTCGAACCACTGACATTCGTCAGTGTGGTACTTCCGGTTTTGCACCAACTAGTGGATTGCACGAGCTATTTGCCGAACGGATTTAACAGATTCTGTGAAAATGAATCAGCACCAGGCTCGAGTTTTCACATGCTGAGCCGGTCAATGGAACCGTTTGTCACGGCAACTCTTCATCTGATTCGTTCCTTGTTATCAACTACCGATCCCCGTGTGGGGGATAGTATCGGTGAAACTGATGATGAGAAAACATTTATGGAACGTGTGCGTCTCGCCGGACTGGTTCGATTAATTCACCTTCAAGCTGCCCATTACGCTCTAGACCTCGGATCCGTGCAACAGGCAGAAGATTGGATAACGGATGCATCATGCATGCCCGGACCAGAGACTTCCTCTAACGTATCAAGCGTACCTGTTGTAGCCGAGTGCTGGTACCAACTTAGAACATCCGAATTGTCTGCAATCGTTGAACGTGCTCGTGGTGAAAATCGTTTGGCCACCTCTCATTTACAGATTGCTCTACAAGATACCGTGAAGGTAATTGCTTGTTGAATTGTTCTTCTGCATTGATTCTGAATCAACCGCTGTTTGAATACACGTATAATTCCTTTGACAGAAACTAACGAATTCAGTACCATCAATCCCGCTTCATTGTCAACTATTGTTAACGGTGCTCGGTCTTCCGCCATTTGACCCCTAGATCACAAGAGCGAAAGGACACCACAATGTGAATTGCCTGTTCCCGTTAACCCTAAAAATGTTTTTCTTTTTCCGATTCCTCACAACTAACCAGTTACGTAATCCGTGCTTCGTACGACACTGTCTGAACGAAGTAATATATTTTTTCCTTCGGTTTATCAACCTTAAGATTGCATCCTCAAGTACATACCTCAGTTGGACCGGTTAAGCAGACACACGGGAAGCACTATGTCCGATTTTCTTCATTAGAGTTTATCAGTGGTGTATACCTATCCAGGGGTTAAAACTCGGACTCTTCTTGCCTGGACGAGATTTATGCTTGTGTGTTACGATTATCCCAATCAGTTCACATGGGGACTGACCTGAATTACCATTTTAAGGTTGTTCAAACATCGTCTGATTAGCTCGTAAAACTACTGACGAACAGCGGTGAATTTAATCGTAAATCATCTGATTGTTATCTGGTTTCGGAAACACATCACTTGACTAGAATCTGTACCTGTGTTACCTTTGTTCTGATCGTATGGATGTGCATTAACGTCTGATTGAAAGCACGCCCGTGTATCAATTCCTCTCAGGTGGTATTCACCCAACGTCTCGAAATGCTTGGTTTAGTCCACTGGATTCTCACAGTTTTTTGTACGGTCATGTGTTCAGGGTGTGGGTTTCACCCCTGCGAAATTCCTATATTCTGGACATAGTAGAGGGTGAAAATAAGAAAATTTCGAGGACTGTGACTTCTAGTTCTCAATGTACTGCCTTTTATCCACGTTGATATAAACAAACCATACTCAACTCAAGTATAAATGATAACTTCATTGGTCTTTTTTGAGTTCATTGTGAGTTTAACTCTCGTCTTCTCATATCTTGCCTCTCGAAGATTTTAATTTTACCCTTTTGTTTTCGTCAACCTGTTAATTTCCTCTTAAACTCATTCATCGCCCAGGTATTTGCAACCATTCCGACATCCTGTTCCGCGTCACTAAGTCTGGGTCTCGCTCGGTGCTATCTACACGGAGTCACCATTCTCTGTGATTGGCTTTTTGAATCGCGCATTAAAAGTGCCGCAGACCTTCTGACAAACTATTTGGAACCGGTACGTCTAAGTTATTGTGTTCGTATGTGCTTTCTCTGCGGAAAATTGTGACTCAGCTAACCTCTCAATTTTGAATAACGGTTTCACTTACTTATGAGTAGGTTGTCAAGTTTGATGGAAATGCGTGAACTCGTCGCCTGACCAATTGCTCGATCCGTTTATCGAAAGGAAGTCTGGACAGGCCAATATTTACACTTCCAGAGCTGTATGTCCCTGTAATATAAACGTGGTCTTGTTCGGACCTTATTTGACGGAACAAGGCGAATCTGCACGAAAGGCACAATTGAACAAGAACTGAAAAACCTTCGGGAGTAGCAGAAAACGCTTAACCCGAAGCTTTCGTTAATAAGCATAGCAAACCGAGAATTGCGAAAGAACCGGTTGCATCAGTTCCAAAACTGCGGATCACATTGTACCTTCATTTTAAAGGTGTTGACATAAGCCGTCTTTTCAGCAAACGACTGAGATCAACAATCGCTAGAAACAAATCATCTACCGGACAACCTGGATACCCACACCTCCAGCAAAAGAACGTCTCCCTCTGCACGCCAACTCTAACCTGCTCTACCAATTCCAATGTGGGTGCGGAGCGACCTACTTGAGCAGAACAGAGCGACAATTACGCAATCGGGTGATGAAAAATGTTCCATACTGGGTCCAAAGTCAGATGACTCCATCGAGGTCAAGTCCGCCGCATAGAAACGACGGTCGAAACTACAAGACCTCAGCCATTGCTCGACATCTGCTGATGACACAACACCAAATCGCCCGAAGCGTAGCGTTTCGGATTGTCTACTAGCCACGAGTCGTAAGATTGCTTAGGTTAGCTGAAGCGATTGCTATTAATCAATAAAGACCCCCTGTGTCAACAAAAAGAACTCTGTCAGTCTGTCCCTACCCTGGTGACATGGTCCTTTTACCCATCCCCTCTTTTATGTTCTATCTATTGTAATGTATTATGCTTTGCTTTGTCGCCATGCTAAAGATCTGTATAAACATTGTGTTTTCTGAGATATGCACCATGTTGAGATACAGCGAAATCGTCCTGGACATGAAGCGTGCAGTATTGCAATAGGGTCTTTTCTTTTCATCATTATCATCGTACAGAGAAACACAGTGAAGCGAACTTCACTGATCGCTGTCAAGCTCGCAATGCATACAAGATCAGTGGTAAAATTTAAGGTGGACAGGGATTGGACCTATTTTGAGGGAGGGAGAAGAAGGTAAACCACTATGGTTAACAAGCCGAGCGCACAATCGAACTCTGCATACATACATAAACGTTCTGACCTGATAAAAAATGAGAACAAGAACTCCACTTCTGTCGGTTCGTTGCCATATCCTTCAATGTCAATGTCAACCAACTTCACTGTCTCCAACCAATCGATTGCAGTCTTTCGGACCCCAACTTGGAAGGTGCGAGACACTTATCCTATCTAATAGTTCTGTGCAAGTCGTCATGCCTCCTCTCCACGTCATCTGTTGACCTCCACGCGGTTTCCCCCAGCCCGAATTAGCTACAGCGAATAAAGCTGGATGCGGCAGACGATGGCTGGGTATACGCAATACGTGCCCTAGCCAGTGAAGTCTACTAATTTTAATTCGGTGTGCTAGCAGGTTTATCCCTGATAGAATCCCAAACACACGGCGGCTTACCTCTACGTTACTAATCCGTTCGCTCCGTCCCACATGAGCTAAACTGCGTAAACACTGATAATGGAAAACTTCTAGTCGACCGATATCTTCTACTCGCAAATTCAAGGTCTCACAGCCATAAAACAGAACTGAACGAACGCTAGCGCAGTATACACGACCTTTCAGCTTTAGTGAAATGTCGCGTCTAGGCCAAAGGCGTTTCAGTCCTGCATATACTGCTCGAGTCTTGGAAATGCGTGCGGTTATCCCCTTTGCTGCACTGCCTTCATTGGTCACACAACTATCTAAGTAGGAAAAGCAATCCACCGTAACTAATTCCTGACCATTTTATTTTCAACTCTGATAATTAAAAATCAAACAAGTTCTATTAGTCAAATTACCTTTTCACTTCGAAATTGATGTACCAATGAGTCAGCTGTCTTTTTTACTCTTCATGTGTCACTATATGATGGCCAAGCCGTCCAGTACCACAGTTAACAATGTTTTGCTCTGCAGCTACGTGACTTGGTCCCTTTACGTCGATGATGCCTGACGGCTACTAGGTCACAGGGATCGCTAGCTGCGAGGTAATACTCGCTTCTGTTGATAACAACAAATGAGTATGAGTAAGATGCGAAGATTTGCACCCGAAAATCAATGGGTACATCTGAACGCTACACCACCTTCCCTATCGGTCACTGTTCGTGATTCCTGAAAATGGGGGGAAGAAACGTAACGGCAGTTACTCCAGGAGTGCGAGGAAGTTAATATCATTATTGGTTCTACTGTGACCGTGTCTGCGTATGTTATATATTCCTCTTCTCCACGGTCCGTTGATGCCGTAAGAAACAGATTGCTCTTCTCATCTTCTAAGTAACTCAAAATGCAAATGATACTTTAGTGTGTTCAAACCAATTGTCTCTTTTCTAAACGTTTTCCTAGATTCGTCAGATATTTCTGTTCCTATGAATGGATCTTGAGACTATTTGTTGCAAACTATGAACTTATCTTGAGGAAACAGCATTTCACGTTTAAATCACAGTTTCTTAAGATTGGTGGTATGAGATGTTGATTTGGATATTAATTTGGACTAACCATTCTCATACAATGAAGACCTACGTTGATAAAAGGTTCTAGATTACAGTTAACGAACAATATATCATGTTTCTTTCGTTGCTTCCGCGATAAATTAACTGACTGAAATATGGGCAAAGTGGAATCCGTAGTTCTGATCAGATCAGGCTGTCACACGCCTTTCATGTGAGGGGTCCAGGGGTCGGATGGATTGGTGAAAGTGCACTACTGATGGGCTTCAAAAACAGCAAACTCAAGTTCAGCGCCTCCCTCCCGATTATGTGGTTGACTGAATCAACTCAGGATTGTGCGCGGATGAGAAGTTTGAAGAAGTTTCAATCGGTATCTTTTGCAGCACTTGTTTCAAAAGCAATTTCACCAGTTTCCCCTTAAACACGTGAAAGTGGTGTGTATATATGGCATAAATATTTTCTCACACATCTGACTTCAGACTGTGTGCCAAACAAATCACCGTGCATTAATATTTTATAAAAAGAAAAAGATTCATGATTTGCTCGAGGATGCGGTACTACTAGGTTGGCCTGGCCAAAGCAGGTGAATTTTCTTAGGGAGCCTTCGACTAACTAAAGCCAGCGGGGCGGGGCGGGACGGGAAAACCGCAATCCATTGGGGGGCCGGTGTCCAGTTCATCGGATCATACATCCTTTGGACAGGGTCAAACGTCCAAAGTGATCAATAAACCTCGATGCCCGACTGAGCTGGTAACTACTGCCACAGCCAGGAAGGTGTGGGTGAGTAGTTCGTTTGCCTCTTCTTGGTTAGTTTGGGATCAAGGTTTTTAGCCAACTCCCCTAGGTGAACTGCCAGTGGTTCGCCGACACAGCTATAGCCCCGGATATTGACTTTCCGTTCTCTCACCTTGGTGGGAAAACACCCCCGCCACGGGAAGGTAGTGAGTAGAGCTTCCTCAACAAAAGCTATTTGAGACGCTTGGTCGTGTGTGTACATCTCGTGGGGTGCAAGGGGGGGCGACCAATCGCAACCCAAAACACTCACCTCCGACCATCTACTGCGGCTTTCGGGGGCCAAACAGTGGATACACTAAACACTGCCCCATTTTCACTAGTAAACCGTCTCTTCTACCTGCAGAGTGCAATTTGCTTCATAATTCCTGTATTTTAAACGAAAACATCAATATTTAATTGTTAGAAAGAATGTGAAAAACGCATGCTTATATGTTCACATAACCTCCAAATATAAATGTAAAGATTTATCGGACATCACCACTCCACTGTAGTCTGTGTGCTATCACATTTTTTCTATTGCCGCTTTCCGGTTTTGATGAACTAGGTGTACCACTAGTCATCGACTGCACAGTTCCGGAATTAGACGAGTATGGACATTCAAACTCATAAACACATAGTGAAGTAATCTTCCTTCTTCACACGTGCGCGCGCGCTCCTTATTCGCCATCCCCCACCCGCTCCCCATTCAATTCACACTCGTTTATTCTTCCCCTATCCAGGCTATTCAGCTGGCCAAACGTTTATCCATCAGTGTTGACTGCAGTGCCTGGGCTAGTTTGGCTCGATTTGCTGATGCACAGTTCATCGCGTTGGATTCCTATCTGTCCTCATCAGAGTTTGCTGCGCGTCGTCAACTTTTGATCGAGGCTCGACGAGATGTCGCGTGTCTGACAGACTTGGGTGAGAAGAGGTAAGTTTATGCCTCTTCAAGAACTGACAGTTGAGGAGGGGGCTGTGCATCTCTCCGACCCGGCACGAAGTGAGAACGAGAGTGACTCTCTACTTTTAGATACACATGCAAAGGCTACTCTTAGTTTTGAAGTTCCTGGGCATCCACCTTCATGCTTCACTAATAGGATATCAAATTCTGCACAAAATTCTCTACAATCGTGCGTCTGACTCGCATTACCGCCGGCCCACTTTGGTGATTAGTTGCTCTGATTTTGCTCATTGCAATATCGCATTTCTCTTAATGTGGCCGCTTAAAACAATGCTATAATATTCAGCTATCTTCAGTTTACCGCAAATTCTCGTGGCTATGGGTTTATTGCTGGTACAGTGTATTTTGTTATGCGTCAATAGGATGCACAAAACTCTTCAAGCCAAGGTCAATTTAAGCTGGTTTGTTGGTGTTTCAGTTTCAGACCGACATCACTTTTTACCCAATACATTGATGTCTTTTGCTCTGACTTGTGTTCCATTCCAACGTGTCTACACGTGTCCACTAACCCTTAATTCCATTCCATTCATGTGTATCTCATCCGATCACTCCACGTCTCCGGCACCGAAATTTACTAATTCAAATGGTCTCCTGCCTGTTGTTATCACAGAAAATCTCACTAGTAGCCTTTAAGCTTTATCACATATTTTCCCTCATACGATAGTACCGCTACCTCCGTGGCAGGGTTGGCTTGTTGAAAGGAATTAGTCGTACTAACCACCACAATCATCACAAATGTTAAAACACTCGACATTGTCTTTATTCTATCTTACCATAATTTCATTTCTTTCGTGTGATTTCTTGTGTAATTAATCATAGTAGACAATCGCTATTAAACATGCTATTTAATATCTTCTGGGGGCCGTGATGATCCCTTCATTTCCATCTCATTCGTTAGGGAAAAAACAAAGATTTTAGAGATCTTCGTGCTTTATCACCTGCTGAAATGGACTGACGAATCCTGTTTTTCTTCTATCCATCAACTATGCCTATTCGGGTCGCTTATTGTTTAATTTCGTGTATTTTGAGGGTATATCCTCAAGTTATTATCAATTCCGTACCTTCTCCCCTCCTCCTCCTATGTTGCCCTCTAATTGTTACTTCGGACGTTTGCTTATCTATTCTCATCCAATTTCAGTCGGCTATTACGGATGCTTCAACGTCAATCGGCCATTGAATCGGAGGAGATGGAAACTATCCAATCCGATGCGGATCGTTATCTACATTTGGCATTCGATTCCTACTCACGTTGTCTTTCTGATTCGGACATGTATGACCTCAAGGTAACCCGAATGTGGTAGGGTTCGATTCCGTATACAGTTCGATTGTGCGGTTACACATCTGTACCTGCTAGTTGATGATTGTCTGGTATACATGTAGACCGAAGCATTCTCTGCTGTTAGAAATTGCTATCATTGATTTGTTTTTGGAGTAAATCTCAAACGAGATCGATATACCTGTTTGTGTTCTCATGACCTTTTTCAAATAATCGTGTTCGATTTGGTTAACTTGAATCGGGTGCTTACAATCCACCTTCCCCTTATTCTAATACTTCATGAATAATCATGAAATGTAAGTTTAAACTGAGCGTAAAACATCCCTCCTTCCAGTCCAATATGATTCTCCTCTGCAATGTTCCGTAGTTAGCTATCATCACTATTACAGGAAAATACAGAGAAGTGAACTTCGCTCATGGCTACCAAGTATGCAAAGTGAGTAGGAATTTTTAAGGTCTTTAGTGATTGGGCTTTGAGGAAGGGGAAAATAAAATGACACTCTATACTCAACGCACAGATTACACAATCTAACTGTGCAAAAAATGTTTTGAAGAAATAAGAACAATAACCCCACTGATATCAGTTAGCTGCTTTGTCCTCAGAGTCTCCTATCGACCAGTTATAGTCTTTTGCATCCCAGCCAGAATGACATCTATTCTGTCTAATCCCTGTTCATTTTTTCACTCTTCATCTTCACATCATCTGTCGACCTCCACGTGCTTTTATCTAACGTGGAACCGAAACTGTCACTAAGGGGTGGTGGGGTAGACGACAGTTAGACATACACAATACATGTCCGTCTTTAGATTAGATTAGTGTTCCTCACAGCACAGTCATTTCCTGTTAACAGGGAACAGAAGTACGCCCTCCCCCCTTATCCTCAATTACATCCTAGGGACTTTTTTCAAGACAGATCAACCTAACGAAATGTTGCAATGAGTCTATGATTAAATTCAAATGTTATTGATGAGGTAGTGCCAAGTATTCACTGATCGTATTTATCACCTGTGGTGTTAACAGGATACCCGTCTGTCCGTTGAGCGTCGAGTCTATGCATTTACGCCGAGCACCGGTGAGCAGGACAAAAACTTGGTCGTCACGAGTATGGATAGGATGCTCGAAACTGGCAGCATTTGTACGCTGGTGTTTTCACATCATTCATTATACATGGTGGTGACACACGTGACTCAACAATATTGAGGTCGAATGCACAAATCATGGTACAGGTTTTAAGCACCGATCAAATACCCGACTTGCGTTGCGTCACGCATGTACATACTCGGAAATCGTTACGCATGAAAGCTCAATGCGCCGAATTCCATTCGTACTGATTAGATCAGATTGCCGGGATACATTCCAAACGATGCATTCGTTTTGTGATATGAAACCTAAAACGTCCATAGATGAAGACTGTCTTCTCTCATTCATCTGTATAACTCTCTTACACTTGTTTTTACGATTCCCTGTTAGTTTTCTCCTTATGAGACAGCAATTTAATGGGAAAGATGAATATTGTACAATCTACCGTTTGTGCTATTCATCATTTTTTGACGTCTGCAAAGTAGAAAAAATAGTTTGAAATGAAACAAAATAATGCCAGCAGTAGTTATTGTCACCAAGAAGTGAAATAGTGTTTTCTCTCACAGTAATGCTTCTTATCAAAACTATTTTTACGATCATACTCGTTCACCTGTCCATGAATCCACACAGATCTATCGATTTGTATCCCTGTGGCTATGTGCCTCAGCCGACCCGGACCAACAGCTGCAACCAAATTCACGAGCAGTGAGTGTTAATCGAATCATGACAGAACGTTTACCTGGGATTCGCTCGGATAAATTCCTCAATTTAGTTCCTCAGCTCGCTGTTCGCCTATCCTCCCTCTATCCCGCCTCGGAGTCGAGTTTCCAGGCTATTCTTACAAATGTAAGTGTATTCAAACTATAGTTCTTTTCATTGGACTAAGTTAATATATTCAAATCGTTTTCGATTGAGTGTTGTACTGAAACGCATAGTCACCATTACACTGTGTGGAAAGCGATTACCTCTCACCGAGGGAGAATCATATAAGGTTTCTGAAAGAACAAGAACAAATGTGGTTTTTTGTGTGTTTTTTCACCGTATATTATCTGCTGTATTTTGAAAAGGCATTCGTGCCGTATCTTAGCGTCTATAACCAACAGCAGTCTTCGTCCCATGAACTCCAACCTAGCAAGCGGGTTGCCAATGCTAAGGGTGGCTTCTTCATGTTTCTACATCAAGTTATTATCTAACCAATCCAATCTTTCACTGAACGTCCAAAAAGAGCACTGAAAGGTAGACGATGGACAGGCATACACAAAACTTGATAAGACCATCTGAAGTGGTGTAGACAGTTTTCTTCTTTTAACACCCAACACACTGTAACGAATTTCATCATTGCTCATTCATAGTTCCCACCCGGGACCAGCAATGCTTCAAAGACATCGGTTGTCGGATACAGATAGTCGATTAGCACTCTCACCTCGGAGAGGTCATACCTCGAAACCACAAACCACGGCGATGTACACCCTTCGCTTGAGGGAGTCAGATTTCATGATGGTGCCACAGGTGTCATAGATTAGCAAAACCTGGTCTAGCTTTTGCTGTTCGTAATTTGATTTACTCTCCAATTCCACCTCCAGCTACGGCCAAGCTCCCGAGATACTTGAAGTTCTCAACCACTTCTAGCTGGTCATCACAAAAGGTGAGTGCAGGCACGGATTTCCGCCAGTCTTGCACAAGCACTTCGCACTGGAAGGGTGCAAAGCGCATACTTATCAGGAAACTTCGATCGCCAAGCGGTTCAAAGCATGTTGAATCACCTGTGTATTGTCTCCTAACAAGGTGATATCATCGGCAGATTCCAAGGAAAGAACTCTGTTTCCTGGGCGAAGTTTGACTCCATCATTTTCCAAACCAGACAAAGCATCCATTAGCTCATCCTCTGTGGCAAATTTGAAGAGGAACAGGGATATAGGGCAGCCTCACCGCACTACACTGGAGACGACAAAGGGTGTCGAAAGCTGGCCATAGGCTCTAACCCAACCCTAGGTATGATGAACCACCTCTTCGAGAATCCACACGTACTTATCAGTGAATAAATTTCTCAACTAGCGGTTCCAAAGTGCGGATATCCAAACGCACAATGGTGTTTGTCTTTGGTAAGCATGACGGTGCTCTATCAACTGTCGGAAGATGAAGATTTGATCGATGCATCCGCGACCTGCGCGAAACCCAGCCTGCTCCTCGCGAGTCTGCTCTTCATGTATATTGTACAATCGGCGGAGAATGACGCATGCCAACAGTTTCGATGCTATCCTGATAACGCCTATATTCCTATGATTGGTGCAGTCACTGCGCTGACCGTTTTTGAAGATGGGGACGACGGTTGATTCTCTTCACGATAAAGGAACCTGTTTCAATTTCCAAACCTTACTCAAAAAAGCCGCCAATTATTTAATAAGGCTTATTCAACCACCTTTAAATAGGGTTGAGGAAGTCCATCGGAACCCGGCACTTTATGCCCTCCCAGTGCTTGGATCTCCTTGCATTTTTCCGTCTCAACTGGTGGATCTGTCGAGACAGACCATAGGACATGTGTGCTGAAAGAGCTATGGGAGAAGCTGACGCTGGCGGCCAGCTAAATTGTTTCTTGAAGTGCTCCGCCCAGCACAAGAAATGCCGCTGTTGATGGATGATAGGCGAGTCACCAGCTTCGCAAATTTTTTCGCTCCCACCCAAAGCTTCCCTACCGAATCAGATGGAATAACCTACGGGAATTTCTCATGGCAGCAACACGTTCCATCTCTGATTTGCGTTGAGTTCACTAAATATCGCGGTTTCTGCGCAGGCTTGTGTTGTGCTCGCCACGTGCCTCAAGAAGGTGCATAGACTGGGCGGAAGTTCAGGGCATCACGATACAGCGTGTCAGGCCACAACTAGGCCATCAAAATGCAGATCACTCTTGATCAGCTACCGGTGCTGATTAATGTCATCAAGTTAAGTTTGTTCTCGCTTTTCAGCTAGCATGTTTTGAAAGACAGTTAAGCATGCTGGTTGAGAGAACTCGTCTTAGTCCGATTATCGTTTTATTACGTTTAAAAGGCCCATCGAAGCACATGAATAACTTAAATTAATACGTGGTCGAATTCACAATCGACAGTCGTATGTACAATCGTGCCCGTTGTGGCTTCTAAAGACATGGTCCATCTGCGCCCATTACTGATTCGAGGAGAAAAGACGTCAAGTGGCTTACCGGCAGTTTGATCGTCTGAAGTTCCTAATGGTGAGGAATAAGCGATAGTCAGAACACAGCCAATAGCCGCTTTTCGGTATCTGAGCGACAAGAATTTAGCTTAAAAGGGTTTCCTAAATGTGCCTCGCTCGAAGACAACCAACCCACTCTAGCATTCATATCTCCTACTAAAATCACGATATCAACCCGACTCGCTTTCGGCAAGAGGTTTCCAATGGAACAGACTGTTGAGCCGGTCGACAGCAAAACTTATAACTAGTTTGAGGATTCGTGCAGTTCGTGTTCCGACAGGGATCGAGCACCCAGCTGTCTGCTACTCTTCTGGCTATTACACAGATTGCTTCATATATCCCATGGAATTAGGTTACCAATAAATTGAATTTCGCTGGAGTTATATAAGACGCTTAGATCCTTCGGCATACCAAAACTTAACCATATGAAACTGATCCATTTTGGCTAAATGCTCGCTGGTTATTTTTCATTGTTTTATTCATATGAGATTCGTTAGGATAAATAAATCCCATGATTGAAAGACCAAAATGACAAGAAAACAGAGTTGAAGGGGCCCATTCGTGTCAGATCAATTGATTGAATTTGTATTTGAACGTATAGAGGCTGAAATCGGGTACTTTTTCGGGAAACAAAACTGGTGATATGATATAGTAAATAGCTTGTTGGCTGCGCATTGGGCTGGTATTGAGTTTAAAATACCTATGCGATATCCTGTGAACATACACTTTGTTAGTAGCGGTAAGCATGGGAGAGCCGGATAGTAGGTTCACGTTGGATTAGCAATTGCAACACAGGACAGCGAGGTGCGGTAACTGAAAAGACAGATGGTGTCCGAATATACTCTATTATCCAATTAAGGGGGTTGTGAGCAGTACTTCACTCTTGATCTGACTACCATATCCAGTTTTATTAGGAATCTCGATGGGAGGATATGGAATAATACATTCAGGTGTGAAATTCAGGGGTGTTGAACTGAAAAGTTAGATGGTAAGAATTCACGCTTGAATTTCATCAGTAAGCTTACACTGAAATGAATCCCAAACTGTCCATCAGTTTAGGTTTTGGTGGTCTTCAGAACCGTCAATTTCCTCAAGTGCAGAGGCAAATAGAACGAAGCTCAGTAGGGTGCGGCAACATCGGCAAATTAGTGAAAGGACTTACAATGATTGATGATTAGGTTGTAATTGGAAGGCACTATTAGTAATACCCAGAATTGCACGACAACATGCACTGTCAGTGAGCTCTTGTTTTCGTCTTTTGCCCCGTGACAAATGGAAATTCGGTTTATGATCATACATTTTTCAGTTTTTCATTGCGTCGAGTTACGATATTATACACATCTTCGATATGCTCTTGACTTGGTACACCAATTTCTATTCTGTTGCGGTTCATGGGACACGGTCTGCGTCAGGATGGCCGAGCGGTCTAAGGCGCTGCGTCCAGGTCGCAGTCCACTCTGTGGGTGTGGGTTCGAATCCCGCTTCTGACAACCCTCTTGTTTGACTGTTATTATTGTATCATATTATCTGGTTTACTCATTCTCTACCACAGAGCCCTTTTTTCTGCAGACATTCATCATCATCAGTAGTACCTCGGCTATTCGTAGAATCTTCATCTCCCTCTCGCTCTGTTCTTTTTCGCTGTATAGGTAATCGAACGACTAATTAATGATCACCCACACCATACAGCTTTTGTATTACTGTTTCTGGTTAATGCCAAATTGGACAATGTGTACAATCCTCGCCCGCCTGGACAAACCACAGTCCCAAATACTTCCCGAACGGCAGCATCTCGTGCTCGGCTGCCTCGGAGTTCGGGCAAACACGTGAACCGTACGGATGATGTGAGTTGTAGGTGCAATCGCACACCTATCTCCTCGGCCTGTTATCCTATCCTGTTGAGAATATCAAACTATTATTTGAAAGATAGAAATAACGCTGTTTCGTATTCTTAATTTTTTAGAATGTAGTGGATGAAAGGTCTTGTAAAGGCGCACTGGCTCCGCCCACGCGTGGCCCTGGTTAGTTAAATAGACGGTATTACGGACCCCCGGACACTCCCCACGAGTCGTAATAGACGGTATTACTAACCCCCGGACACTCCCCACGAGTCGTAACGTTAAACCAATACGACAGAGTGATCTCAACAGCAACGTATGCAAAACAGAAGGACAGACTATGAGACCTGGACAAAAGGCACTGTATTTGAATGTGAAACACACAGTGGCGTCGCACGGTGCGTTGAACGACCAAGGTGGAAGTGTGTGGGGCTAACGCGCGTCAACGTTCAGTGAAACAAAAAGAAGCGTGACGTAAAACACGAGTGACGAAACGGAGTCACTACAGTCTCGAGTTACTATTGGGCAGAAACCTCATTCCCCTAATGGAATGCCTGTGGTGGCTTCAGACCCACAGTGTAACATGCTCGAGAGTTGTCACCATCTTTGGTCTGTCCGTTCCGCATGGTTGCTTGGAGCATTCGCTCGTGCATCCTTCTCCTTTGTAGCATAGATTCACCCAGGATCGTTGATATCCTGAGACCGCTTCTTCAGCTAGGTCTTTCATCTTTGTTTAAGTCACTGCCACCTCCGATGAATTAACTTTAATTTAAA